TAACGGATATGATAAAAATGTTGGACATCTATTACATTGACCCAACAAGCAAATGTATAGTTTACTTGGACAAATCGATCCTCTCCTATTTTGGAATTTACTGCAAAATTAGAAAAAGAAATGTCAAATTTCTTGGAAAAAGTAACTTGGAACCTTTGGGACGTCATAAAGAAAATCCCTCGAATGTGTCTAAGCCTTTTCTAGGCTACTTTGGATGAAATTCATAATTAACCATTCCAATTGGAAATTTTTGATCATCATTCTGATGATAAATTTAATTTGTCAAACACAATTTCCTCTGACATTCATTTTTCACTATTGCCAGCAAAATTAGATTGATAATCAACTCAATTAAAGTGTAATTATTTCAAATTAATTTTATTAGTTACCAATGTACTTTCGAGCCATTTAACATCGTGATTATTATACTATAATTTCGTTCAACAGAACCAAATGCGCAGAAAGGTTTCTTTTCTTCCGATTCACGCGTTTTAGCCACTGTCCTTCGGTCACTCTTCTCACGGAATCCTATTTGGCTACCTAAGCATCCTAGGGATTAGACATGCAAAGCGAATTAACTATAAGTAAAAAATAATTCAGTGTGTTTTGCCGAGCAAAACTAAATCTCGAGAATCACGTGCATGTAGGGGTGAGCATTGTTGATCCCGTTGTAACTTGGGAATTAGCCCGGACCAATACTAAGTAGGTTCTCAGTTAGACCAGGTAAGTTCACGAGTAATAATGCATGGGTTCGGTCTAGACCGGTTCGGTTCTCAACTCAAATACTTTTGAACAATAACCGGCTTTTATCCGGTTTTCATCTTGTTCAAAAAGGAAGAAGAAATTTTTAAGAGGGAGATGCGGTCCTAGGTGGCCCAATAAGATTCGAAGTACCGCAATCAATCCAACAAGGGAAAAATTTGGCAATCCGGGTCTACTTCGGTCTCAAGCTAGTTTCTATTGGTTCGATCGGATTACCGCCGAATCGATCTACATTGAATAGGTTTCTAGTTCTTGATCGAGAATCGACCCGGAACTGATGACCACAGTTCAAACCGAAACAACCCTTCCTCCCTACAGTCTCACCTAAAAATCCTCAGTCTACTCGTCCCACCAAATCGAAAAAAGATCTTTTTGTATAATAGTTTGACAAGAAAAGAAAACAGGGCAACAAGACAGAATCTCATTCCAAATTCCTAGTCGAGACAATCACCAAACTTCTCTCGAGCTCGCGCCTCAGAGGGAATCCGCAGTCCGACGTGGTGGATTCCAGGCCCCGGGTTCATGCAAACGCTTAAAAGAAAACAACCCAGGGAGAGAGAGGGAGAGAGAGAGAGAGAGAGGAGGACAGCAAAAAAGTCCAAAGAAAAGATCTTTCGCCTTTTGGCCTCGCATGATTCTGCGATGTTCTTGTCGATGTTGTCTCCCCGCTGTTCTCGGTAAGCGGTTTTTGTTGCGCCGCTGTTTCGGGTCCGAAGAGGAATCTGCAAGGCTTCAGGTCCTTGTTTAGCCTGATCATGACAGAAGAAGAAAAGAAGAAAAAAAGAAAAGAAAAGTATTTTCGTTAAAATCATATAATTTCTACTTGGACAGTGATGAATCGGAAAATTTAGGGAAAATGACACAAACCGTGCCTGAACTTTGATCCAGCGTGCAATGTGATTCCTGAACTTTTAATTTGTTCAATTTTGTCCCCTGATTTTTTATACATGTTCAATGTCGTTCTTGAACTCTTGGTACATATTCAATTAATGAAAGGACTACATTGAATATTTTCATATAGTTCAAGGACTAAATTGAACATGTACCAAAAGTCAGGGGACCACATTGAACAAATTAAAAGTTCATGGATCACATTAAACATTAGACTAAAGTTCAGGGATTATATTGAACAAATTAAAAGTTCAGGATCATATTGCACATTGAGCCAAAGTTTTTGTGTCATTATCCCGAAAATTTATACATTTTTAACATGTAACTGATCGTGTGTGTGTATATATATATTCATTTTTTAAGTTTTTTTCCCCTCCTGTTTTCCATCATCCAGAGGCTTGGTATGTACGTGTGATGATGGATCAATGCTGTTCTGGGCGGTGGATGCTCTCCACTCTTATGCTTTGATCTTCCTGCAGAGCTGTGCACGTGCGTTGCAAGAGACCTCCAGGCCGTGCTTAGTCTCCCCTCTGCTTGACAATACATGACTTGAAGATTTCATCTTTTTGCAAGAGCTACAGATTTAGGGAGAGGCTTTCAAACTAAAGGGTCATAGCCAGTGGGTTCTTAAGTGACAAAGTGATGATTTCACTGGATCTGCTAGATTATGTTGTAGCAAAGCCTCTTTTTCAGCTAAGATTTCATGCACATGCAACCCAATAATTGCCCTGCCTGCATTAGGCCTCCTTGTAGGAGCCTACTGGGCACTTAAGATTTGGTTTTGTCTAGTCAACAGTTGCGTTGGTTTAGATAGGCTTCAATCCTCTTAAGTTTTAGCTTTCCTAACTTATAGTCGAGGCCAGCTTCTGTGCTAACTATAGGCAAGTGCCAAATACGGGACTAAATGCTGCAAAATACTCGTTTGGGCATACATCATGAATCCAGACAACTACTTATCATCAGATGGATGGAACGCTATGCAAACTATAGTCTTACCCCCGATGCAAGTTATTCTCGCTAGCGACGTACAAAAAGGGTTAGATTTAGCTTTTTGGGGAGATGATCCTGCCTCTCTTTTCGCCCGGGCACATCACCAAGGAGAACCTTTTTCTGCTTTCCATGGCTGAATTTCGTTGCTCCTGAAGTGGACATAGGAGGGTTTGATTCAATGGAACCATCTGGTTGCATGTCCTTATATGAATCAGCCTACCTTAGATTGAAGGCATAAATATAATAAAATAAAGGGATTGAGACCCCACCAAAGAGAAGAGGTGTCTTCATATGAAGATCAAAAGCGGGATGTAATCCTTTATTCAGACGGTTTTTTTCCTTGTTCTATAGCTTTTGGAATTAGAATAGGGAAGTCTTTGTCCTATTTATGCATAGAACAAGTCTTGGATAAGTGAACATTTCTTGGTTTTTACAGAGAGGCATAATGTTTTACCAAGAATCATTTGAATAAGTTCTTGTAAATGTTAAACAAGCTACACCATTCCCCCCAAATGGACAACCCTGTTCTCCACAAAAGAATGCACTTTCAATAATGTGGCTACCAATGTGACAACTGTTTGGAGATCTTATTATTTCAAATATTGTTTTCCTTCATCAAAACTACATCACTACTCTAAATTTATTTCCGTCTCACCAATACCCCAAAATTTTTATCAATGACCCAAAAATACCTTCCACTTCTGCCCACAATGACTAATTAATCCTACATGGTGTTGTCCACACATGTTGTCACGTTGGGCTTTTAACGGCCATTAAGGATGGAATTGTGACGAAATGTGCTTTTGAGTTGTTCAAATTTAGGGGGCAAAAGTACACTAGAAGTGCCATAACTTGTGTACGGCGATCACTTTGGTGCCATAACCTTTTTTCGGATCACTTTGGTGTCAAGTCGGAGGAAAATCGATCACTTTAGTGACTCCGGCCAAAAAGCTGACCTGGCATTTATATTAAAAAAAATTGGTCTGACTTGTACACGGTAGAAATTACGTGGCTTTTTTTCAAATTTTTTAATTTTTTTTTTTAAAAAAAAGTTGCAGCAACGGCGAGGGAGCCCTCGCCGCTGCTGCCGCCAACCCACCACCACCGGGAAGGGCCGGCGGTGGTGGGCGCAGTGGTCGGCGAGGGTCGCCGGCCCTGGCCGGGCCCGGCGACCCTTGCCGAGCCCGGGAGGGCCGGATCCGGCGACCCTCGCCGAGCCCGGCCGAGGGCCGATCCGATGAGGCGAGACGTCGCCGTCGTGACCCAGCGACGGCGAGGTCTCGCCTCGCAGCCAAAGGCGAGGCCGCGCCGCCGTAGCGACCCAGGCGACGGCGAGGTTGGCCTCGCCTTCATCCGGCGAGGCGAGATCTCGCCGTGGCGACCCGAGCGACGGCGAGGTCTCGCCTCGCCGGATCCGGCCTCGGCCGGGCTCGGCGAGGGTTGCCGGGCCCCGGCCAGGGGCCGGCGACCCTCGTCGACTACTGCGCCCACCACCGCCGGCCCTTCCCGGCAGTGGCGGGTTGGCGGCGGCAGCGGCGAGGGCTTCCTCGCCGCTGCTGCAGGTTTTTTTTTTTTTTTAAATATAATATAATTTTTTTAAAAAAAAAGTACACGTCAGCGGGCTAAACGGTATCGTTTTTGGTTTTTAATGCTGACTGGACCTCTCCAGCGAGCCGTGTCAGCGCCACATCGGATTTCTGGCGAGCCACGTCAGCGTTGGCACTAAAGTGATCGATTTTCAAAAAAGTTGGCACCAAAGTGATCCGAAAAAAAGTTATGGCTCCAAAGTGATCGCCGTACATAAGTTATGGCACTTCTAGTGTAGGGCATTAGTGAAACGGAAAAAAATTGGGGTAAGATATCTCAAGAGAAAAAAGTTGATACTTTTTTTATGAAATTTCAAAGAAAGATAATAATTCTAAGTAAATCGAATTGTGTCGTGTGGTTTATTATTTAAACGTGTTATTCAACATTCGATATGAGCTCACGGTGGCACTAGCGTCCTTCTTCTGTTCATCATTTTCTTTATTTAACATGGCAAAAGAATTCAACATATGTGGCGCTAATGATTTGTTTATGAGACCCCCAACTCTGACAGGGCCATGAACATGTTCCTTGAAAACATTGTCCATGCTTTCTCCTCCTAATATACGTAAGAGAAACAAAATCTTATGACCCTTTTGTCTGTGTTTTTGATCTTTCTGGTAGGCTATCGTCTAAATTTCACGTGCAATTCGCCGTACAAGAAACAGAAGAAAAAATATGGAAAGATAACTCATTAACAAGGTCTTTAAAAGGCTTCAAACCTTGCCCGTTCAAAAGCAAAAGGGCAGGGCCCTTTTCTCTTTGGATCTCCCCCACATTAAACTAATCTATCAGCTTTTTGACATTGCCTTGATTCAGAAAGAGAGAGAGAGAGAGGGAGGGAATGGCACTTGAAGCAGTGGTCTTTCCCGAAGACCCCTTTAATTATTATAATTGCAAAGAAGTCCAAAGCTTGTTGGGAGAGAGTTGGAGCTTTGACTTTGGTGATCAAGAGCAGTGTGGGAACAACCATTTCCTTAGTATTCCAGAGAGCCAAACAGAAGACCATGAATGTAGTGAGTGGAATCATCAGCCAAATGTATCATCGACGGCTGTGATTGACCGGCCGAAGCGGCGTCGGTTCAAGAGCAGGAAGAACAAGAAAGAGATGGAGAGTCAGAGGATGGCTCACATTGCCACCGAGAGGAATAGAAGAAAGCAGATGAATGAGCATCTCTCTGTTTTACGTTCTCTCATGCCCGACTCTCACGTCCAAAAGGTAAACAATCTCTCTCTCTCTCTCTCTCTTCCATTTGCTTGCCTGTGCTTGTTAGAAAACTTCATGTGGCAGTCATGAGTGGAAATATCACTGACATGAAGTCCACTTATTTAACTAAAGTCAAGAGGAAATTGCACATTGCTCTTGGACAATCCACAGGCAGTGGCTGCACAATTCTTTGAATCTAGCATTGTTCTACTCTTTATATGTAGAGATAGTATTACCACATTTGGTAAAATCAAACGAGTATGTTTCTTAAAAAGATGCTTATTAAAAATCAAAATTCAAGTAGACTATCATGTTGGTAAAAGCAATTTTCTATGGTTCCCTTGCATTCGTTTTTTTTTTTTTATGTTGATTCGACTCGAAGTATTCGTACTGTAAAATCGATCAGGTTGATCAAGCATCAATTATAGGAGGGGCCATCAATTATGTCAAAGAGCTAGAGCAACAATTGCAGCAGCTTGGTGCTCACAAAGAAATGGAAGGACAAAGTTCAAACTGTGGAGATAACACCTCCTCTCCTTTCTCTGAATTCTTCACCTGTCCACAGTACTCGACAAGCCCGGGTCAAGGCAATGACTCGGTGCCCATGAACGAGTGGATGGCCTTCACTCAGTCTGCAATCGCTGACATTGAAGCGACCATGGTGGAGACCCATGCAAATCTCAAGGTAAGGTCAAAGAGACGACCCAAGCAGCTGCTGAGGTTGGTTTCTGGGTTGCAGAGTGTGGGACTCACTGTGCTACACCTCAATGTCACCACAGCTGAAAACTTTGTTCTCTACTGTCTCACTCTCAAGGTACGATCTTAATTATTCTTTTCCTTGTTTTTCACCTTAAGATGTTCTTTCATGTATCGCTTCAGGTGGTGCCAAGTAGGCGCTACGTCATTAGGAGCTCGTCCAAATTTTGTCATGTCGATAAAACCGTATGAACATTTTAGTGGTGCTAGTTACAACGGGCGAGGTGGCACGAGAGCGAAATTGTGCAAACATTGAGCATTAGATGACTCAGTGAGAAGGAAGTTAAAGGGGAAGAAGTGGAAAAACAATAGCAGTAGACAGAACACATCCAGAACACGGTTCTTGATTTTTTGGAAGATGTATGATTTAGAATTTGAGTGGTGTGGATTTGAAACTTTTGAATGTGCAGGTTGAAGATGATTGCAAGCTGACTTCAGGGGATGAAATTGCCGCAGCTGCGAATCAGATTTTGAGTAGCATTCAAGAGTGAGGGAGTCTTTCTTTGATCTTGAGAACCCTGAAGATGGATTTATGTCTTACTCTCCCTCTCTCTCTCTCTCTCTCTCTCTGAATTCAATATTTCGTTTATCAGGAGATGAGATGCGGATCTTCTAGAATCTCAGTCTGTATCAAGTTGCAGAACTGGCAACTGGCAACTGATGTCATTTAGCACACGATTTCTGTCGAGTCTCTTGAAGTGGTACTCTTGGTTGCTGTTTGGAGGAGAATAGCCCTTCACATGAGCATGTCTTTCCACTAATGGAATGCAAATCCCGCTATCTGCAATCGTGACCAACACTAATTAATCATTTTACCATAAAAATAATCTCCACATGCAGATCAACAATCTTAAACAAGTATCCTGAAATTTCAACAGAGAGTATATGTTTCTTTGGCATATTCATGTTTTGCTTATTCTTTGGAAGATCTGACATTCTCTACCTAAAAGTAAGGGAAAATGCAGTACCACTTGACTAAACGATGACTTTCCCAGTTTCCCTTGATGGACGGAGAGAGCAGTAAGATTTAAGTAGGCATGTCAAAATTAATCATAAATCCATTTCTTAATCTATATTTGATATGCTGGGTAGTTATATGGATTGGTTATATTTAGTAAATGAATTATATATGGATTTAGAAATGGCAATGCCCAAAATATTATGAATATTAAATAAATTCACAATTTACTTAGACCTAACCCACCTCTATAAGGCGCTCGCTCCCTTCAGTTCGCCTCAATTTGGGCTTGAGTTTCCTAGATTTAGTTAAATGTTGAAGCGTTTTAGCAATATGAATCGGGTATAAATCACTTAAATTGTATTTGCATGGTAATGGGTCTAAACGGGTTAAATGGATCAATTTGAGGTCGGACCATTTTCAATCCAACCAACCCATTTAACGGGTCTAAGATTTGAGAGACAGCAAGCTTCATCAACTCCTTCAATCGATCTGAATATGAGGATCATAGTTCGCCTAAGTCAGCTTTTGTAACTAGACAATATTCTCGGGAGGACACAAATGGTTGGATCTGCCTCTGCCCGACTTGCAATCGAAGTGAGCATGTAATGTGCAGCAAGTTTGTTCCAAGACACATTCAACAGTAAAACAACAGGAAGTGAATGTCTTTGTGCAGAGAGGGAGAGAGAGAGACAAAGTGATCTATATCAAGTCCAGCTTGATTATTTGGCAGTTGGTATAGGCACTCCGGATTCTCCCGCCAGATTTTTGTACACACCCTGTAACCTTCGAGTTACCGGACCTACTTTTCCATCACCAATTACCCGTCCATCAATCTTGACAACCTGCTAGGCATTATTAACAGGCATTACTATAAATGTCAATCAGAAACAATGTTTGGCTATCGAACTTTTAGTAGGATTGGTACCTCAAGATGTAATCCTAATTATCTAAGTGAATTCACAACTTTAAATAAGCAATATAGCAGAATGCACCATGAAGCATAATTGCTTTAAATGGATGATTTACAGCTTTTCTGCCACTAATATTTTGCAGTATAAAAACAGCAGTGACTAAATTCACCTCTTATGATCTTTATTAGTTATACTTTAGATTGTCATAATCGGAGTTCCTTAACCAAGCCATCTTCAGTGATCAGACAAATTCACTTGACAGGGCCATCACTAGGGCTTATTCATCGCAACTTACATGAATACAAGTAAAACTAGCTCACCGACTATATCCAACCGATCCATCGCCAAGTCACACAGTATGAATTCTAAGCTCAATGCACTCAGGTCATTTCCTCAAATGGAGATTGAATGCAACAAGCAGAAACTAAAAGATGGTATATAGGACCAGTGCTACCAGGCCAGACCCATGAAATGGCCAACTATCTAGGATAACATACGAGGGACTTCTGCTAGATTAAGAAGTATGTTGATCCCCAGGATTCACACGTTATCTGGATAAAGTACAAATTAAATGTAGAAGTCTGCCCATGTTGATCAGCTCATAAGAAACCTATTTCCTAAACCAATTAAATGAACATAGGGCAGTACAATGTAACAGTAACAGTGCCAAGCACCATAAAAAATGCATATGTTTGTAGACATCCAAACAGCACTTTAGTCATGATTAACCACAGTATTATCAGAGATATCTGGGACTTACTGGACTAATTTCTCCCATGGTGCCTGTTGTCCATACCTGCAATTGGTTGCAAGAATAAGGATGAAAAGCACGAGCTAGAACAATGCAAGAATTTGATTCGTTCAAAAATGAAAGGAATAAAACAAGAAACAGGGATCTGAAGCCACGACTATCATTAAGAGGGTTGTAATGTCATATTATATTAGTTAACAACTTTGGCACAAAGGCGTGAGGTCTTCCAATATTAACATTTCAAGCAGTGATACATGTTTTTACATGTTCTCCAAAATTCCATGCATAGCTTCTAACATCTTCTGGTTCATCTATAGCAAGTAGGGAGGGCACCTTTCCCAGGCATTTTACACTACCCAAACATGTTACCAGGAAGGAGCCAAACACTAATTTAATAGGCATCTAAAGTATCCCAAAGAAAACTAATCAGGAAAAATGCACTGAAAAATCTAACATACTTATGGTGTTCAAAATTATCGTCGACAAGGTATCTTAGCAAATTAACAACCCAAGAAATGTTCTTTTAATAGTTGTGGAGCACATCCTTGCTATTTATGCAATAAAGTCCAATTTAAATTCAAAAAGAGAGACGCAAACCTCATCAGCTATGTGGAATTCTGATAAGCTAATTCTCCGTTCCTCTAAGATCAGATTTTCCTTAACCACTAGGTCCATGACCTGCAACATCAATAAAAGGCTTGGTATAACATGCTTCATCAAACAAAGATGTCTATTAAATATGTAGGGAAGCAGTCATATGTTCAATCCATTAATCAATTTAGGAGGGTTAAAGAAAGGAAAACACCAAGCTAACTAGAAATCAACTACATGTTGATGCAAATATCATGAGGGCTCTGTCTGCTTACAATATACCTAATGCAGCATATAACTCAAGCAGAAAAAGTATTGAGATACTTATGCAAAAGTCTACCCTGGAGCTCTTATCTACAGTAGCGTGATTTAGTGGATCACAAATAATCGTATCAACCATTTGATTATTGCTCCAGGATCTTGAAGAGTAAACCAGCTTATAATTGAACAATAAGATGATGACTTATCCATTTCTGCACTTAATTTTTTTTTGTATTTTTCCTTTTCTTAGTTTCACAATTCCGGCCCTCTCTAGAGAGCTTTTAGGCTCTTAAAACTTACAGTTGCTCGGGTAATGCCAGGAAGGCAATAATCAGCATGAGGTGTCAAAACACGCCCTTTCTTTACTAAAAACTGCATTAAAACAGGAAAAGGGCTTTCCAGTCAGTAACTCATGGAATAAAACAAGCAGAATTGGAGACACTGCCTTCATTGCTAATGAAAGCAGATCTATAAATCCTTTAGGACTCCAATGAGCCTCATGCGCTGCAACCTGAACAACACTCGCTTACATTAAAATAAGCTTACAATGTTCGTAGCATTTGTTTCTGACACATAACCATCCTTGTCGAGCATGATGGCGTCATCTGCATTTGCATTGTTCCCTTCTACCTGCATCATTTTCACAATTCAAATTGTATCAATACGTCGATCTGAAGAACTAGCACGCACTTGCGAAACACAAGCTGCACAGAATTTTTTTATGTGAATATAGCACGATTGACATGCCCATAAATCCCCACTCCATGGGGCAAAGCTTGCCAACAGAAAGAAATGATGACTATATGATCTCACCAAAGAAAACCACCCAAGAACGTGACATTAAGTAAACAACATATTGGTTTAGAAATGCAAACAGAAAACTTTCACTATCAAAGATGAAACCAGTGTAGAGTGAAGCCTGGAATTCAGGTTCATGGGACAGAAAATATAAATTTTATTAATGCTACAGAAAAGTTCACCAGGCCATTTTCCAGTAAAAAGTTAGCATGATATGACAATCCAGTTTATGTTGTAAAAAGCAACATTACCTTCGCAAGTATGTTATTCAGAAGATTGTTGTGGTGAATCTTGGAATCCAAGTTCTGAAATACAAACGGCAGATCAAAATCAACCACAAAGATGAATCGACGAGACGTGAAGAAAATGCTATCATCTTTTTGCTAAATATAACATGTCAACTCACACTTGTCAAACTGAAATACCTAAAAGTACACCCTACCCTACATCACTATTACAAATTCAATAAAACATTTCTGAGGCATCCGAATGCCATGAATGGCATCATAACAGCACAATCTCATTAGACTGCTTTCCTGCAGAAAGCTTCCCAGTAGAAGAAGGCTGAACATGAATTACAGGGAATGGGAACCAGTCTTCAATGCTTATAGTGCACATAAAAGTTGCTTCTAAATATGTATGAGAGCATCTTAATTGCATAATGACCACAGTATGATTAAGCATTGTTCACTGAGTGGCACCGCCCTCAAGGGATGATGAATATGATAGCAGTGAACCTGTTTGTGCTTACGTGATGGTCATTTTTACAAAAAAATAAAAACAGAAAAAAAAGAGCTTTTCAGAAGGTGGCAAGCGAACTCCTACCAACAGTGGCTCCTTTAGTGCTTACAAGTTGATAAAATTTGTGATGGTACTATTCATTGGTTGCGGGTAAAGGGGAGGGAAAATATCATCTAAATGGAAGAAGCCTTGAGGTTCAGAGAAAGACCTAACCTTCCAAGGGTAGATTTCTTATGATTATGAGAACCTGTGTTTCCTTTAAGTAAAAGTGACACTTTCAATTGATCAAATCTTAGCATTGCAATAAAAATAGAAAAGTTTGGACATGCTTCTTTCATAATAGTTTTCTGGGGAAAAAATACTCGTACTCGTGCATTGTTGTCACTGTTATAACTTAGCTAGAATTAATATTGAGAAGCTGCAAAATTACCTTCTTTTGTGAGAAGAGATGAAGTTGATGCTCTTATGAACATAAAGACCAGACAATGATCTGATAAACAGCATTTGATAGCAGATTATCAATACTCTCTTCACAAGCAAGGCTAGATAAAAATGGAAGCTCTTTTACGGTTTTATCTAACTCCAGAGGTGAAAAAGGAGCTCTTTTACAAGTAACTTTCAAGAGCTCATTCACTGAATTTGAAAGGACAATAGAAGCAAAAACATAATTCTTGTCATTTCCACTTTCTTGGAAAGTCAAGATATAAGAAATAAGCTAGGCGTATGATTAGCAGCCAAGTTTCCACTATAATACTTGCCAGCACCCAAATTATGGAAGTGATTCGTGATCAATGCCCTCAAATCTCAGTAGACTGTTTAAACCTACTGAACGTTAGATATACAGATATCTCCTACAAGCTAATTTTACCCTCCAAAAGGAAATGCGGGCACAGCACTCCCTCCAATGATTAAAATAGGAACAAAATGAAAATATTTTACCAACTCCAATAAGATGAAAACAATTATAACCTCAATATCCAAAATGATTTTATATCATTAAACCAATGTATCTTACGTTGGGCGAGTTGCGTCGTGTTGTGGCTGTTACCAGAGTAATTCCATGTATATTATCATATACAGGGGGTTTCCATTCAGGGAGCACTGAATTATCAAGAAAGCAGGAATGCAGCATCAGAATGTATACAGAGAGTAGAATAGAAAGGAAAAAGAAAGCGAAATTTAAAAGGCATTAGGATTTTGCCACAGTGCACAGTATTGAAACCTTTTTCACTTTGCAATCTCTCATTAGCAAGTTAAACTTGCAAATAAAAGAGGATAAGAAAAAACCACAGAAAATGAGAAAACTGGATTAGTACAAACTAACAAAATGCCCTGCAAATACCGAACTTAGTATGACTAAACAATGCTTGCTTGCCTGTGATGAGGTGAGAGTTTCCACATAGCAGCCTCACAATCAGAAAACAGAGAACAAAGAATACCGAAAGCAATCACCTCAACCCAGAATCAACTTAAAATATGGTGAAGATAACAAAAATAGTCTGTGAAAACTTGGAAGCAACCACAGAAAGAGGTGGACCAATGGTGAAGCTAAAGATAATTGGATAGACAGATACACACACACAAAAAAAAAAACATAACCAGCAATATGCAGTTCATGCTTGTGCGAAACGAATTCAAACGAAAAACAGCAATTACGCTTTAACTTAGAGCAAAAGCATAGGCAGTTGATGGTACCTATTAATGTACAACCATAAAGATTGAAAGCAGGACTCATGCCAGAAGTAACCTGACAAAATCAGAATAATTTGAAAAAGTCATGAAAAGTCAACAGCAAAGGTTCATAACATTCAAGAGAGACAAGTGAATGCAACCATGAGTAGCAGGGAATATTAGGATGTGAATGCATAAACTTGTTCATCCAAATATTAATTTACGTCGATAAGGGTTTCAGACCTCCATTTCATCGGCCAAACAATAAAAATGACAACCAGACAAGTGTGCGCATGAGTGCTTTTTGCACACACGCACAAGAGAGAGAGAGAGAGGACCTTCTTGCCACGCGTTAGAGACAAACGAATGTGTGCATTATCAAACATCCCATTCCTAATAAGAGTCTTGAAGATCGCATCCTTAACCTGTAATAGGCATTTAGTTAACATAAAAATAAACAACAAAAATGCGGACCAATGAATAAAGATAGATCTGTCCCGGCCAATGCTTGTGAACTGGCTTGTGTAGGCAAACAAAATCCCCCAAGCAATGAGACAAAAGAACTTGTTCGTCTTTCAAATCCTCACCTGTTCACGTGTCGGAACATTGCTAAAAGCCAGAGCTTTGGCTGAGTCAAACAACCTAACATAAGAGCAAGTAAAAACATAAGTGCAGCTATTACACATTAAACCATTATCCCTCAAATTGACATTTCTAATTTCACATTTACAAAGACAGAGAGAGCAATACAGGCACGCGCATAGAAATTAATGGGGAGAGAGAGAGAGAGAGAGAGAGAGAGAGAGAAGTTGTCAGACATTAAGTTCCATCACACGTCTTTCATATTTGAAGCTTGTTCATTGGCCTGAAGACAGTATAGCTGAAGTCTGGTACTCACACAATGCAACGGGAGACAATGAACAGCATCCTTCATTCCTTTTCACTACTAACTTTTTTAATGTACTTTATATTGCAAACAACTTAACCGGCACGAATATGCATTAAAAATTGAATTGCCGGGGATTCCTGCGCAGACCTATCCAAGTGTTCTTCAAGTTTAAAAATCTTCCCATTGTTAACTCGAAGACCCTCCCACACTGAATCACCACCTTGGACTACTGAATCAAAGACAGAAACCTGACATATTTACAATGTGAGCATCAGGAACATAGAAAACCTTGTTAAACAAGACAAATTAGCTTACTAACAGCAAATTAACATTCTGTATAACCTTTGCACTGTCACGCGGGAGGATCTCATCACCAACCCAAGCAAGTAGCTTTTCATTAGCTGGTACTGGAAGACCAGGGGTGGGCTGTGATGATCTTCGTCTCACTTGGCGTTTGAGCAGGTTGTAAAAAGGTAAAATTTGCTCCAGCAAGTAATATAGGGACATCGGGAATTGCTGAAATAATTGCAAAATTGATTAGTACAACCTGCTGCAACATGGACAATTGAATATGAATAAGCTATGAAAAAGACTATGGAAAAGTGTTTCTAGATGAAAAAACGAAAAAAAAAAAAAAAAAAAGAATCGCTGCTGTTCCTTCTGGACTACTGGAAGAAAACCTATTCATGCTTTGCGTTTTTTTGGATTTCGTAGAGCTACGGTATTTCTGTCATCCAATTTCTAAAAGGGCCCAAGAGAGCCACCTCAATCATAAGTAATAGTGATTTTTGCCTAAAACCCATATACTTTGTAGGATTCTAACTGCAAAAAACAGGAAGGGCTTGGCTGGACACTTCCAGCAAGATAATTAGTTGCATGCTGGACAGCAATATATGCTGTCCATTCTAGCCAAAGAATTTGTGCAGGAAGACACTGTGTACTTCCAGAAAGATACCAGAAGCTGATTGAAGGAATGCTGCAGGTGTACATGGCCTGTCAGTCACCTTCCTGAATAAGTATGTTAATTGAGCACAGCATTGGGAATCACAAGAGAAATAAATGAAACATATTCGCTCGAGAGAATTTAAATAACTATGGATAAAAAGCCAGACCAAACAAATTGGAACTGCAATTCTGTTTACTGACCCCTGAAGTGATTACATGAGAAATTGAAAAACCCCAAACTGCATACCGAGGGATACTTTTTAGGTGGATCAAAGCGTGTAGACTTGTGTACACTTTTGTACCACCATGGAGCCCATATGCCATCTATAGGCTTTGGACCAGCTTCCCATCTGAAAATTCTCAGGTTAGTATCTCTTCAAAAGCAAATGGAAATGGAAAATGACAAATTATCTTAAAATGAATTTTAACTAAGACTCAAGATTAATTAAGAACAAAAGGTCACTAAATACTATACAATTACACCATCAGCATACCTGAGCATAGCAGCTTGAAAAGGAATATCTAAGTCTTCACAAAGACCACGCAAAGTAGCCTGCAAAATGAATAGACGACCATTAAAAGGCTACGGAACTAGGCTATAGACATTTAGATGCTCAACAAATAATTAGAAAATAAAAGGGGAAAGAGGCAAAGAGCAACAGAATTATGAGGGGAAACTCAAGTTACGCAGGAGGATAATATGTTTAATAAAAAGCAATGCAAAAATCTAGATGGTCCCAGAAAAAAATGTGCTCTGAGTCAATCATGCAATGCAAGGAGTCACCTCAACTCTAGACTGTAATGTGAATACTCTGACCTTCTACAGTGCAAAATCCACATATGCTTTGATTTCTATATTACACCTAACCACTTTATTTCCAAATTCCTTTACAGAAGAACGTTCATAACTCAGTGTTACTGACATCTTCTTTACTCTTTACATCCTCAAAGTTTACGACCAAAAACCTGAACAAGGCCAAAGGTATCCTCTAATATTATGAGCTTGGTTCCTAAATTGTTGCTTGTACATGCTTTATTTAAGGAAATGTTTATATGGGTATCGATCCAACAATGAAAAAGTGCTTCAATGGCTAAGAGGGATGGGATATCTTCATACAAAAGGAACAACACTTTATTGATAGGCTCATCTCAACAGAACGCCATACACCCATGCAAGAGACAAGAACTTTGTGAACCAGAGTGATCTACCAATCACTGGAAATACACATGCAGGGAATACAATTCATTATCTATGATTGTACAAACACAATAAAATAACAGAGTACAGCATAATAGGTGTTTCTACTACCTCAGGATCCTGTTGCAGATCTGCAACATCAACAACTGCCGGGGGATTCCCCAGCTCATACAGCTGACTATATATGGAGACTAACTCTGCCAGGCCTATCTCGAGAAAGGATGGAGGAGTGATCTTGTCAAAGGATGGCTGACACAATATTTCAAACCAGACAATGTTATGGCAAACGGAGCAACATGTAAAAAAGGTAAACAGACATAACCAATAACTTCACTGCACGATATTTCAAACCAAACAATGTCATGGTGGATGGATCAACATGTGGAAAAGGTAAACAGGCATAACTAAAAACTTCAACTGCAAGATTTGAGTACACCAATTATCATCAAGCTTATAGCCATTTGACTGTTGGGATGGGAAGCAAGGTCAAAAAGATTGCCAATTACATCAACGTGTCAATCTAATTATTTTGGGAAAAAGTAGTGAAAGGACAATACTTGTGGCTAATGGAGCCTCGGAAGAACCTGAGTGAGCCACTAAGAGAATATTAGACAGGCTCAGGGCATGAGGTTCTTATAGGACGAGAAAGAAGGAGATGATATGTATGCATGTATGAGCATCAAATTCACAATAGCAAAAACACATCATTCTAGCACAACTTTTGAGAGGGGAAGATTATTTTGGTGAGCTTTCCATATTCTTTGGCCAAAAAAAAAAATCTAAGAGCTAAAGCATGTATGTTTGGTTTTAGCCATTTTTGGCATGGAGGGGTACCGCAAGGAGGAACTCACAATCTTACAGGTTTGAGAACCAAAAGGTCTAGCACAACTATTTGAAATCTTATGAAGAAGAGATGAAACCTTAAGAGATTATTATTTGCATATTCAAACGAAACATTGGGTTTTCCCTGTAAATTCATAATATTGTGTCTGAAAGTAGTTCTCCCTTTCGGTAGTGTTTGTTAAACTTATTCTTCCAAATAACCAGGTAATCAAGGTTGACTGTAAAAGTAGCAATTTTTCTTAGATAGCACTTGCAAGCATGTCTTTGTCCAATCCTTTTCTAAAAAAAAACATAGAAATTAGAATATATTAGCAGGATCAAAGTCTTCTTTGGCAAAGTTAATAGAAAGTTGAATATGCACTTTTCAAGTGGAACACTTGCAAGCTAGCATGTCACATCAAAGAAACCCCATATTCTTTTGTTTTGTTAATGAGATCTTATTCATAGATTGGCTTAGAAGACAGCTTTTCTACATGGCCAAACTCTTCCTTGAAGCTCTTTAAATGAGACTTGCCTCAATTGAAAAAGATTTTACTCCATCATGGAGGTTTGTGTAACTTGCATTTCATGCACTCACAACCCATGAAGAAAATTCATGAAGTACTTTACCAATATATCCATGGGACTACGAATCAATATGAAATGCTTTCCTTTCTTCATCAGATCATTTGCAATACCAGGCACCCGTTGCTTTGCAATATGCTGTTGAAAATGAGACAAACGGGCAAAGTCAAAACATTGGTCCAAATCTAAATAAATTGGTCCCATGATTATGACACGTGTGACCATTTCCTTTGATTGATTAAAACTTTAGAACACATCAGTTATTTCTCTTTCTTCCTTTCTTAATTAATTAGGTAGGAGACCAAAATTAGGAAGTACAATGACCTGGAAAAAGTACATCAATCTCAAACCAGAAGAACCACACTAAGCAAACGCATGATTTGCACAACGGATTTTGTAACACAACGATGAACAAGATTACTTATTGCATTTCCAATATTCTATCTCAAAAAAGTTGATGGTCATAGAACATTGACTCGAAGTACTAAAGAGTGAAGACCATATAGATTGAGAACATGACCTATCCTGCTTGTTGGGCATGAGAACTTATACCTTACAATAACGGTATTTCTTGCTCCCAGGACCAAATATGATATCTTTTACAACTTTGTTGGCATCAGACTCCTGTTCAATTGTCAATTGAGGACACGAGTAAGAAAAACAATATCACAAGTAAAAAGCATGCAAGTTGAAAATTTCAGAAGAGCACACAGCAACAGAAACTTAACGAGAGAACAGGTAGTGTTAGTCATTTAAAGCAAAACCACAAATGGTTCTCTTTAACATGATGTTGAAGTACTTAAAAGTTTAATGCCCGCTCCCTCCCTCTCTCTCACACACATGCGCGTACTTTGAAGCAAATCAAACATTTTCAAAATAAAAGGAAGCTGCTACAGTCATCAAGTACACCTGTAGCAGCGGGAGAGTGAGATCATGAATAATAGGATGCACATGATAGTGCAATCTAGTCAACTAGGGGAAGTTCTTCGGTGAATTGTTGTTTCAAGGAAACGGTTGCTGGCAGAGCATCCAGCCAGTATAGTCTTCATTATCTTATTTTGAGAATAGCACATATTATCGTAATAAAGAAAGGATCACCATAATCTAGAGGCTATTTGACACAATCAAGATGATGATTATGTTGAATTCACCAAGAACAAGAAAATAGAGAACAATGTCGAGCTTCAGCGACATATCTATGGTAACACTTGAGAGTTGTGCCAGCGTTATACTACTTCATCTAACATACCGTTTTGGACAAAAGATCCTCCCGGTAAGGCCTATCTACACCTGTCGCCCGAAGGAAATTTGCATAAAGAGGTTCATCAAGCACTTCCATGTCATCCCTCTGAGAACAAGCACATGTATTTAAGCAAGTTAGTAGAGAAGCAATTAGGCAATAGCATTTCAACCCGTAATGACCATATACATAGCAGAATAGGTTCTGACTTAGTGGATTTGTTCTCCACTTCTGTAAGAACAGAAAAGCAGAAACCGAAGATCACAACCAAAGCTAAGACACCCTAAAAAATTCTATTTTATTTTCCTTAAAATCACAAAACCTTTCGTATAAAAGTGCTTAGAACAAAAGTTTTGTTCCTCCACTTTTCTCTGAATGAACTACCACACAGCAATTACATTACATAGGATATTCATCTAACAAATATATATAATTTCCAAGTTATAATGTCAAGCTCCATCTAAAAAGCTGCAGCTGTATCTTCTGAAAAATCATCTTAGAAATTACTTTAAGATGTAAACTAGGCAGCGTACTCTTCTCCTGACTCTGATTATGATAGTATCCATATATCTTCCGGCTAAAGAACTAATCAAAATGCTAATTTCTGCTGAAACGAATGTTGCCCTTTCCAAAACCTCAATGAAAAACATTAACGTTCACCAACTTTATAAAGATCAGGCCAACAGAAATGACTGCTAAGACAACATTCAGACCTAAATTTAGAGTGGACAACATTTAAACCTGAACCGCTCCCTCAAGACGTAAACAACTGCATTAACTTGAGAGATACACTGCTATATCACAGTAAATAACAGATGCTTGAAGACAAACTGAGAAGCAGGTCCTATGCAAGCCTTCTTCTGTTCTATATTATGACAGCTTTCTTAAAATTATTAAACCTGATTATAGATTTTTAAGTGTAACGGCTCTCCTCCAATGAACTTGACTGCCAGTATGACAGCTACCGACCCCTTGTACATACAGCAACATCTAACACACATGTGAGTGTTTATCCATATTTGTAAGCCAGTCTCATTGAATCTCCATGCTCTTTGTCGAAATCATTATCCATAAAAAAAAAAACCATACATTATCTACCCAAGGCTCCGTTTGTTTCGTGGAAAATGAATAATTCGAAATTAGTCAATGAAAAATGTTCTAATTATCGACAACAATTTATGTCTAAAAATTTTCGTGGATGATGATGAGACTATTTTTCCTTTCGTTCATATTTGAAAGTGACGCAGGTGATCATTTTTAAGAAAATGCATTCCAAAATCGTTCATTTTCCCCAAAACAAACATAGCCTAAAGGTGTTTATAAAGAAAACTACGCCAAAAACAGAGATACATACGTTGCCAGCCGCTCAACGCCGTGCAATTGAATTAAAAGAAATCCTCCGACTTCGAATCCCAACATTACAAATGACGCCTGCCTACAACACCGAGAGCACAGAACCGGCCATACAGATAGAGAGAACCGCTTCAAACACAAAACCGCCACCGACAAAAACACAGAGGAATGAACAGCAACCCCACCATTTCGCAGCCAACTGCCGTACGCCACGCGGGGGACGTAACGTTCGAACAACTATCAAACAGCCCAAGAAAACACCGTTCCAGCCTCGCGCAAGCCCACGATTACGGAAGCATCTCCCACGGGAAGCCGCCCAATAACGGTGACCGGACAACCAAAGCACGACGCCTTACGAAGGGGACGGGAACAGACGGAGGCAAAGAGGCGAATGACCCACCTGAGCGAAGGAGTACATGAGGCTGGTGCTGAGCGACCTGGGCGCGGACCACGAATGGATCAACTCCGGCTCCATTGCTCGACGGACGTGCCGACGGCGAGTGAGAGAGAGAGAGAGAGAGATCTTGAAGAACTGCCGGCGGTGATGGTGATGGTGTGGGTGATGAGAGGACAGTGCGGCGGTGCTCGTGCGACGCCTCGCCTACTTTTACGAGGATGAAAGGCTGCTGCCTGCTGATTGATTGCCTCTGTCGCTCCCCAGAATCACCATGTGATTCTTTCCTTTGTCGTGAAGTGTTTTTCTGGTCGTGGTTAAATTCGTGTCCTGAGAAAAAAGAGAATAAATAAATAGATTTTTCTTTCCATTTTCACCGCTAAACTCCCATTTGGGGCATTTAATACTTAATAGGATTAATATTACGAAAAATCTCGGATTGGTACGCCCGCCTGCCCGTGACGATTTATTTACTTTTCCTTTTTTTTGTTGGTTTTTCTGTTTTTATGTAGGATTCAGTTACCAAAAAGATAAAATCCCCACGTATATTAAATAAAAGGCACTATATTTTTATAATCGCTAGATTTTACTTCCATAAAAAATTAGTTCTGTCAAAAAGAGAAATTTCCAAGAAATCCAGTCATTTTCTACGTTGTCGATCAAATTTATGGATAAATTGTCAGGTGAAATGTAGAAATAATTTCACATAAACAATGTTTTAGCACAATCATTTGTTTATAAATTTTCACATTTGTTGTCCATATCACCATTAAAAAGCCCACTTTATCAGTCTTCTTATATATATAATGGGATGATTAGATGAAGCAAAAAAAAATTCTCAAAAAAAAATTCTCAAAAAAAAAGATGAAGCAAAAATTTGTTTTTTGAAGATTTTCCAAAATAAACTCTCAATTAAATTCTCCGACGTGAAACTTTAAAGATGACATTTAATTAAATTAAAAAAATTCATAAAAATAATATTTTTTTTAAATGCCAGCAATCTCATTATTTTGGATTAACAAAAATTAATATCATCTATAAAATGTGTATGAAAAGATACCAAGATGTCTTATGGTGCATAATAATGTTAGTGTACTCCTAAATATTTCTATAACGTCATATATGCTTTGTAAAAAAATATCTTACCAATAGTAAAGAAAAAAGATAAATTATTTATGGTTAATATATGAAAAATCCTAAACAAATACACTTGAGATAAATTTACTCCAATCTAATTTTTGGGTTATCAAAAATCCCAAATTGGTAATTTCCGTCAAATTTTACAGTGAAATTATTGAGCTGGATGATGTATGGCAATAACTCAATTAACTGACAAGTCCACATACAAATTTATATGATTTTGGAGAAAATGTGTCACAGGTTTATTAATTGGAGGTTTTTGGTAACTCAAAAATTAGTTTTGAGTAAATTTGTCACAAGTATATTAGTTTGAATTTTTCGTAGTATTATCAAATTCTTTATATATAGTTAGTAAAGAGACTTTATATATATATATTTTAGACTAATGAAATTAAAATAAAAAATTCATCAAGAAAGTAAGCTTTTGAGATAAGAGAGACAAATAATAGATAAGTTATTATTAGAGTAATGATGAAAAAGAGACTTTTAAATTGTTTACTATATAAAAGAATTGTCTTTTTTTCCTTATTATTTGCGAGATACGTTTACGCTTATAAAAATATCTAGGAATACTCTAACAAAAATTGTTTAATTTGCTAAAAAACAAAAAATATGAAATGTTTAATTATGACAACTAGATCTTATATATAAATAAATAAATAAAAAAGAGAAGGAAAAGGTCCATCACTTTTCAATTGAATGATTGAGTCTATTTTGTCTTTTAGTGTAAATGTTGTGGATGTGACCACACATATATAGAGAAAGATGCCCCGAAAAATATCAAGATACTTGTGTTTTGTGATCTTTGAACCTATTTTGTCTTTTTAGTGTAAATGATCTCTATTGATTTTGTATCGAGACTACAAGAGATAAAGCACATTAGGGATTTTCTTAGGTAATTTGTGTATGATTATAGGGTTATTATCATGAAAAACCCAAAATTAGTATATTTGTGATAAATTTATACAAAATTAATTTTTGAACCACAAAAAACCATAAACTAGTACACCCGCGACAAATTTATTTTTTGTCAGTTTCCATTAAATTTTACCACCAAATTTCTGAGTTGGATGACACGTGGCAGTTGATAGGTGTTCCAGTTTGGGGTTTTACCCTCCGTTTATTACAGTTTTAACAGTTTGTGATTTTCCGTGATATTAATTCAATTTAACGGAGGGTAAATTTATCACAAATGCACCGATTTTGGGTTTTTGGTGGTCAAAAAATTAGTTTAGGGTAAATTTGTCACAAGTGTACCGGTTTGGGAATTAAAAAAAATTAATTTGGCGTAAATTTATCACATGTGTACCAGTTTAGGGCTTTTCGTGATATTAACCTCTAATTATATAACCGCCTCTTTTCTATGAAACGTAAATTTAAGGATACAAGGTGTGCGAAATTTGACATAATATTTTTAGGGGTTCCAAATAGGTCGGACTTGATTTGGAATATCTTTTTATAGCTATGTCATTGGTTTTCTCTCTCTCTCTCCCTCTGTGTGTGTTCATATGATACAACAACAACAGTGGATGCGCAGCGTCCGCCTAAGCCCGATCAGGGAAACTGGCCCCTCGCCGTGGCGGCCGATGGCAAACGGAACGGAGCCACCAACCCTTTGCTCCTCTCTCCCTGTTTCTCTTGTACCCTTTTCTTCTTTTCACCAAATTTCGTTTTTTTCTTAATCTTATACTGAAATATTTTCTTTTCATGATTTTTACTGTGAATTCATGCGTGGTTTTGGTAGCTCAGCAGCCGCAGGTTCTCGTTCACCGCATGAACAGGAGGACCGAGATATGAAAAAAAAAATGAAGAGCAAATAGTGGAAGGACCCAATCGAAAAGCTAAAATTCGGGGCCGCGATTCCATAAATTTCCCCAAAGTTAAGGGCCAGAAATAGGAAAAAGCAGAAAATGCACGAAACCGCACCGTGCGATAGACCGCTGTAACACAAAACTTCTCCTCCTTAAACCCTCCGAAAGCCCTGCAGCTCCTCCGGCGCTGAGCGTTCGCGTGCCCGGCGACATCTTCAAGATCGAGCGATGTCTCCGATCTGAAATCGAACCAGGAAGACGACCCAGGAATGGCGTATCGAGGACCACCCATGTTTCGCGCTCTTCTCGGGGCCTCGCAGAATCGAGGACTTTCGCAGCTGTGAGTCGCTTCTCTTCGATCTGTTCTTACGCATTTCGCCTTGATCCTCGACGAAATGATGTGGAAGACTGTTTGTTGAACTGGGTCGGTTTCCCTTTGGCGAAAGAATCGAAATGGTTTGATTTGGCTTTGTATGCGCAAGAATGGGGTTGTCTTCGGGAACGAGCAAAATTGAGTCTTTTTGTATTACTGAAGGAACAACATCCTTGGTGGTGCACGTCTTATAGCTGAAATGAGGCGCCTGTTCGCTTTTGTGGGTCCAGTAGGACTGCTGTGAGTTGGTACTTGGAAATGAGGATTAGCAATTGTATCGAAGTCACCCGTAATCTTGAATATGGAATCTCGAATATGGAAGTTGGCCCTGAAGTTTCTAGTTCTTAACTTAACCCTTTTCCTGATGCAGGCTTGGGAGCTCAAGGAGCTATTCACGCGTGATTCCAAATGGTAGTTTCTCTTGGGCAGGCGATTTATTTTTCAAGTTTTTTTGTTAATGCTGTAGTTTTAGCATTGCGCAATAGCGAAACATGGTTGATTGCATGAAGAATGGGTCGATATGGTACGATCAGATAGATGAAACCTGTGAGCAGTTTGTTGGGCACGCAATAGTCTTTCAAAATAGATTGTTCTGGAGGTTGCACAGTACTCATCTTTAGATGCTTTGCCAGTCGATGAGACTGTATATAGGGAATCTCAGTGTTTGTACATTCTAGTTGAGAGTATATCTGTATGTGTGCTGCATTTCAACTTTGAGTACTGTTTTATTTATGTTGTATGTGGGAAAACGTTAGGTCCAGGTTGTAATTTTTCTGCTCCAGCTATGAGAATCATTGCCTCTTGTTAATCCTTTTTAAGAATGTGAGTTGGCTGACATGCTCTAGTGATTGTCCTCTGTAATTTTAGTTCCTGAGTTTAATTGCCGGGGTATTTCGTCTTTCTCACATAAGGGGCAGAGTACTTTTGTTTTGACTCGTGCAAGTGCCTTGACTCTTCAGGAAAAAAAGGTAACTCCTGGAAGCTAAGTTTATATGTCCATTGGCCACGGATACTATTTTGGTTTTATTTATTTCCTCAGGAGCTGATATGTCTGATATTTTCACATGGAGATGGTATTCACTAGATCTATTGTCTTGTCTTTAGAATGCCGAGTTCTTAACTTTTTCGAATTGGGCAAGGTTTATGACAACACAAGTAAAAGCTCCTCCACAAGCTAGACAGATGGTATATTTTCCTTTCTCACTACTCTGGCCGTACAGTGTTTCTTTTGCTTGCTTAGCAGTTAGCACGAAAAATATAATTGCTTAGTACAATGTTTAATCATGGTTTACAACTTCGTGTAACTTGTAATGAATTACTTCTTAGTATCCAAACCCTACAATATGATAAACTTGAATGAAAGGCGAGGCTACAAACAATGTGGGAGTAGCCCTCTTTCACATAAAAAAGAATCAATCGAATTACTCTTACTAAACATCTCATGGAAATTTACAAGGAAAGAGCCTGGATGAACAAGTAGGAGTTCTTACGTCAGGAAAAGTGTGTCCAACTTTCTGAATGGAATCATTAGAACTTCATGCTTCTCTGTGAATTGTAACTGCATGGCTATTTTGTCTGGTATGCAGGGTGCCCTTCAGGTGACCATGTTGAGTCCAGGAATTGTCTATGAACCGTATGCCCTGCGCGAACCGATTCCATTCTGGAAGAGGTAGGTTTTTTGAAGATTTTTTCTTTTTTAGTTGACATTGGCCAAGCAAGTCGAATATTGTTCAGATGGTTAGTTTGAGCTGTACCGTGAATCATATTTATGGAAGAGCATCACATTTTGAATCTCTTTGTATTTTAAAATTCTAATTTCAAATGTTTGAGCTTTAAACAGGAATCCATTTTTAGGTGAATAGTCGGTGTTACTTGGTAAAAGGACATAAAAAATAATATTGTTGCTGCTTTCATATGGATATGGTTGTCTGGCAGATACTTTTTCCTTTCATATGCAGATTTTGATTTATTGTCTCTCAGATGGTTCACTCGGAGTGGTTGGAGGAGAACCAAAGATGATATCATCTTAGAGGTGATATTTTGTATGGCACTTGTATTTACTTCTCACTGCTTTTCATTTAATACACCTCTCACCAGGATCAATTTTTTTTCTGATTTTTCATTCTATAGCTTAAAAGTGCATATGCCATCGCTAAGTTAAGGAAGTCTGGATACTCAAAAAAGGAGTTCTATGAGGAGGCCATAAAGTTATATAAGGAGGTATCTTCTCTTAATTTTGTAATTTGTCTGAACATTAAATTTCTGCAGCCCATTACTTTGAATACAGTTCCTGTAAGTTGAAAATGGTCCGGCATACTTAATTGTTGGTCAATGTAAATGCATACCAAGATATGGCAGTCATATGCTATTAGTTATGAAGTTCTCGAGTTAATTTCCTAATCCAACTTGTGTTTGTTAGAATTTCTGGCCTTTATGCAGCAAATTTGACTTTTTTCCTGGATTGCAATCTTATTTTTCCTTTTTCTCCAGATAAATTTTCTATTAGCCCACGGTGATAAAAAATCATTGAGGAAGGCAGTTACAGAGAAGATGTACTCTGTATGCTTCTGGTCTCCAATATCCATGCCCTCTCCATGCTGAATCATCTCATTTAGACCAATCTTTTTTTAGTTTTTGGGGGTGATATTCTGTCTTCATGAAATACAATGCCTCATCTGGAACATCATTTTTCTTTGTTTGACAGACCCTAAAAAATGACATTAAGATGAGGGAATCCATGTGGCATAAGGTTTATTGGGAATTGATTGAACCAGTCGTGAAGATACGAACTTTGCGAGCTAGGCTGGCAAGTATTCAGCTTCCACTTATTGAGTTCAATTTTACTTATGCCCAAGTTTGTAAGATATCGTTATTTCCTTATGTATTCGAGCAGTTTTATCATGTAAGCACGAAAAAATGAATTCCGGTACGATGTCGATATATTATGAAGCGTGATGTATATGTGTGATAAACCTGGTCCACTGGCTGTTTCATTATTCAATGAGAGTGAAACGTCCACGCAAATGGTTGTAGCAGAGGAGGAAGCAGCACTAGTTGGCTCTACCTATGAAAAAAAGAAGCAGCAGCAATAGTTGACTCATTGCTTGGCAAGTTATCTATTGGATCTCTTGGTGAAGTTCCAACCACTTGTATGAATATCATGAAGTTGGTGAATGATGCATGCTCTATGTGAATGTTCAGCAGAATTCTTCATGATCAATTGAGTTAAAAATAATCAGTAATAAGTATCAAAATTGAGGAAAAGTGTTCCCAAGTTAGAACTAAATACTGCTTATAGTCTTCTCTTCTTCAGAATATATCATCATTGCCTTCGGTCAGTCATAGAAAAATTATGGGGTTTTATATCATCATTGCCTTAGGTCAGTCATAGAGAAAGTATGGGGTTTTGTATGTCAGCTCAGTACTATACATCATTGGCCTTTTTCATAAACATCTGGTCCAATGAGATTCTTGCTTGTATTTTGATTTTCTTCTGGCCCATGAGATTTGTATCATATGGCCTCTGAAATTAGTCGATGTCCACACCCTTCTCTTTAAGGTAGATTATCTTATTTTTATTTTTATTTTTTGTTGGTATTTTCAGTATACCAAAAGAGTGCTATGCTATTATATGTGCAAGCTATTTGCTTGTTTTGAATTCTCATAGTGCAATTGAAGTCAGCACATGTGCTTTTATTTTCAGATTGGTGTTGACCGGAAGGATGTCAACAAAGTTTTCATTCAGCTTACTCTTGAGTTCATGACTAAGCAGGTACTGTTCACTGATTGGGAACTTTGCTTCTAATTGTACTTGTGTCTTCAGCAATTTCATCAATCCATCTGTTTGTACTATTATATAATAGCCACCTGATTTATGTTGGGTTCCTCCATTGCAAAATTTTGAGGAGGTCTTGGTACCTTTTGCGTGTTCATCGATGTCTTAGTATTCACATGGTAATGATGATCCCAATCATTTCTCAATCAATGATCAGTTTTAAGTGTGAATCACAAGAAGGAAATCACAAAGAGGAAGATCGTGACTCAATGCGACTATTTAATAGGTACAATACAAGCATTGATGTAGTATAAAGTGAGAAAATGAAGATCAGAGAGGAATTTGGAACCTAGTTACAAAAGCTAAGAGAAATGGACGGAGTTATAATTCGCTGATTCTTCTCTTGCCAACCTTTTCTGACAAATTTTCTATTACTACAAAAGTTTACAAGTGCGTTGCACATGAATGAAAGAAGATGTGGGTCGATGCTTAGTTGCTTATGCATCCTGTCTCACACTTTTATTAAATTGATTAAGTAAGAAGTTTTTAGTTCATTTTTACAGTTCATGCACATTGTTTTTTGCAGAAGTTTGAAGCATATGATTCGAATGGTAATGTGGTGGCAGGCGATAAAAATAAGGAGGTAGGCTCTACATCTTATCTCTCTATGAGGCTGCTGTCCTTGAGTGATTGCTTTTCTGAAACTTTTTAAGAGCAACAAATTAGGCACTATTGCTTAGTTCGTGAAGAGCAAAGAAAAGAACACTGCGTCACGCTTTGTTCAACTTTTCTGTTAATTTAGTAATTTAGATTGTTTATAAAAATATTCTTAGACAACCATTCGTTCATAACTGTTCTATTTGACATTATACTCGCTTCATGACCATTTTTTGGTCACATAACTCTTGGTGCTTGTCTCATTTTTCTAGGTCCTTGTGCGTGATATCTGGGTGTTCGAGAAGTCCCTCTTCCACCGTGGATCTTACTGGCGTCTTTGCGGGAAGATTGTATTATAACCAGGCTATCATCAGTTAGAAACTGGTCGAGGGGATATTGGAAAAGAAGTGGTCACCGATTATTGGAAGCTTCTCAAGCTAGGATATGTCTCCCGGAGAGAAAACTTATAGCGAGACGAGATCTAGACTTTTCATTTTCCTTTTGTAGGGTTGTCATTTTATACTTTTGTATCAATTTCTTGTTTTCATGATATCAATGACGATACCTGTGGTTTTGCAGCAATGTTGTCCGAAGTTGATCTTTTGTGCCTGGGAAATAAAAGAGAAATTGTTCTTTGCGTACTCCAGACATGGTCGGCTTTCACATGGTTCTTTAGTTTCCGTGCTTAGCGACTCTTTCCAAGACATTTTACTATTTATCATTTGAGCTTTGACTTCGGTATATATATTCTTATGGTGAATTGAATAAAATAAGACGAACCACACGTCTTCGAGTCTCGTCCCAGCTTAGGTTGGATGATGGCGGCGGCTATAGTAAGAAATTCTGGACACGAGAAACTGCTTATAGAGCTTTACAGTGTGTCAATGACAACATGATGCTGCAAAATCAAACTCCAACAGTCATTGCATGCTGCAGATGTTCCTAAAAGAGAACTGCAGATGAAGAAAATCCACTAGGAATTCAGAACAACCTGTATGTCATGGATCAACAATCCAAGTTCAATATGTGTGTAGTCACTCAAAACAGAGTAGCTAGTAGATAATTTGCAGTTGTGAGGACTTCACAAAAGAGCAGACTTACACATTAATCTGATCTCTTATAAAGAGTGCACCCTCTTTCCTACTCATATTCACCTGGCAAAGCTATTGAAAGGTGTGATATTTTACACGAGGCTTCACGAATCCTCCATAAAATTGCCCTCAAGAACCTAGCTGCTGTGGTTATATTACCCTTATCTGTACAAGTATACTTTGTCGCTGTCCTTCCACCCTCTTTCGCGGGCTCGTTTCTCCCACAACGCCGCCAGCTTAGGCTCCTCCACGAGCCGTGCTTCGGCCCTTTCTCTGGCTCTCTCACAAGCTGCCACCCCGGCATTGCACTTCTCAGCCTCGACCCTGAATCTCATCGAGGTCTTCTTAGCATCCTCTGTCAATGCTTTCGTGCGTGCCAAGGTTTCCTTCGCTACGGTTTCTTGTAAGCTCTGTTGCTCCTTCAACGAATCCAATCTGCTCTCCGTCATATCATTTTCACCACAATCTGTGTAGGAAAGAAGAGAGAGAGAGATTGACGAATTGACTACTTTAGACGCAAGATTTCCCGAGACAAGATACCAAGCCTCACCAGCAACACTCCTATAGGATGAAATACAAACATACTAACTTGCCTATAAGCCATCAAACGCTTGGAGGTGCCAATGCTATCATAGAAGACTACAAATTTGTTCATGATCAACTGAATTTCTTCAGTTAACGACTTACCCGAAGCCGAGGGAAACATTCGTCTCTTCGAAGGGCAAATGCAAGAGCACGGACCGCAAGAAGCTTGGGCGCGCGCACCATAATTCAAGCGCCTGTCGTCGTATAATAATGATGATGCCACGATGAACACAACTAGAGAAACACCCAACAAAACTACAGCTCCTTTGAGCAACTTTTGATTGCAGTGTGCACGAATTCTTCTCCAAACCATAATTCCCCCCCAAAACCCCCCAAAGAAACACTACGAAAAAGAAGTTAATGGCAAACTCAAACGGAGATTAGCGTTGTTTATCTAGGATTACTGTCACGCTTGCTCTTAGAAGAAGTGATGTCAACCTGCCATGCACAGAAATCTAAAGCTAGAAGGAACAGGAAAAAGGCAAAGAAGAGAGAAAGCCAGGGGGACCCAGAAGAAATTTGAATTTAAAGGTTATGAATTGAATAAAAAATTACAGAAATTAATTGGAATGAAAGCGGGATAAAAATCAATTAACCGATTTCGATCGTCTGTTACAAGTGACCATCTTATAAGCAGATTCCAACATATCCTTTTCTCTCCTTAATTTCATATATATTTTTGAATCCCTTAATAATTTACATCAAATAGGCTAAGGCTCATCTCTTTTATGTGTACGTTTTGATCTCGGCTCAAATCGGGACTCAATCGTCTTGTGTACGTTTCTTTCATTGGAGGTCGTTGCACATATCGAAAATGTTTTGTCCTGATATATATCACGAGCCAACCGTAATTCGATGTTTGGATAATTATTATGATTATCCTGATTAATCACTCGATAAATATATTTTTAACGATGATGGCACGCCATGTAAATAAGATTTAATGGTTAAAGCTTTTTTCCGTTGATTTGTATCTTAATTTCTTCTTCTTTTTTCTTTTTTTGCTTTTCAAGTAATGGATTACTTGCGTGAGAGGCAAGTTGATTACAACAATTTGAGAAACCCATGTCTAGTTGTCTACGGTTCTAAAATTTAAATCCTTTTATAACTTCTTATAAAATATATATTTTTTCTTTTGGGCTAGGAAATTGACATGGATCCATCCAATTGGGTCACTCAAATAATTTTTTAGCACAAAGAATTTGCGATAATTCTTGTCACATATATCCATTAAGTCGGGCTATTTCTAATTATTATTTGATATGAAGAATTTGTGATATATTAATCTTCTATACTCTTTTATGGTTATACTATAACATTCACTTGTTAATTGAATTTATGTTACGAATCCGAGTCGACTCAATAATTATACTTTTAACGATGAAAACACACCGTATAAAGAAGATCGAACGGTCCAAAGTCCTTCTAGTGACTAGTGAGATTAGCTTCCTTTAGGTAAGTTGGTCACAACAAATTGAGAAATCCATGTACACGGGCGGTCTTTTTAAAATTTATAATTTTTTTTATAATTGTTTCTCTTCTTTTGATAAATATTTTATTTTCGGGACAAGATATTCACATATATCCATCGAGTCGGGTCGTATGTAATTATATTATGCATATAATATTGTGGGAGCATACATCTTCTACACTCAAATTTCACCAAAAAAAATAAAAATGGAAGAGTCGATTTTAAGAGATTTGACTGATGGAAGCCGGGACAATCATTTTAAAGTGTGATTTAATTCAAAGACAAACTAACGACATTGGGGACTCGTGAGTGGCTAGAGAAAAATACACGAGGCCCACTATTTGAATTTTGAAAGTGTGTTATAAGTTAAGACCCGTTTTTTTTTAGGAAAATGAATGATTTTGAAAATATTTTCTTAAAAATAATTACTTATATCGCTTGAAATAATTAGTCAATGAAATATGTTTTCATCGTCGATAATAATTTATGTCTAAATATTTTCGTGGACAATGAAAATATTTTTCGCTTGTTCATCTTTGTAAATAATACAGTTAAGGATGTGCAAAACGGATCGTCCAAATTAAAAACCTCCCGGACCAAACCGAACCGGTCGGTTGGGTCAGGTTCTCAAGAGTATTGGTCCGGTTTCCGATTCCTAAAAATAAAACCGGTGTTCAGGCGGTCCAGTTTTCGATTCCATAGTGGAAACTGGACCGACCTATTTATATATAAGTCAAAGAATATATATGAGAATGACAGCTAGTTTCAGCATCATGCTTACAAAAGACGCACAAAGCTCAAGCCAAACCCCCAATTTGATTTCTCCATCTTTCAGAGACATAGCCGATCCAGAAGAGCAAGCCATGAAATAAGACTTCGTCTTGGGATATTTGGTTAAAACCAAACTGGTATGTCTCGTCCAACTTCATGCAATGACTTATCGTATGGTTGGGGAATTTTTACATTGACCGGTTCCAAGATTGGCCAATCCGGTTCCCGGTCCCAAAAACAGGGAACCGATCTTGCCAGTCCTAGGTGGAATCGGACCGGATTAGGAACCAATCACCTCTAATACAAATCGATTTTAAGAAAATATTTTTTAAATCATTCATTTTTTGCGAAACAACGCACCCTAAGTTCAACTTTAAGTTACAAGTTTGTGGTTTGCAATGAAATTTATATTCTCATAAAAAAGTTAATAATTTAACAAGAAAAAATAAGGGTTAATATCACGAAAAACCCCAAATTAGTACACATATGACAAATTTACTAAAAATTATATTTTGATCACAAAAACCCCACACTGGTACACCTATAACAATTTTACCCTCAACTAATTTTTTGACAACAAAAAACCTAAACTGGTACACCTATGACAAATTTACCCATCGTTAGTTTCTGTTAAATTTTAGTATCAAATTGCTAAGTTTGATGATACGTGGTAGTTGACGGATGTATTAGTTTGGGATTTTACCTCTCTGTTTGTCACAAGTTTACCAATTTGTGATTTTTCATGATATTAATCCAATTTAATGGACACTGACGGAGGGTAAAATTGTCACAAATGTACCAGTTTTGGATTTTTAGTGGTCAAAAAATTAGTTTGAAGTAAAATTGTCACAGGTGTACTAGTTTGGGATTTTTTGTGGCCAAAAAATTAGTTTGGGGTAAAATTGTCATAAGTATATCAGTGTGGGGTTTTTGGTAGTAAAAAAAAAATAGTTCGGGGTAAATTTATCACAGATGTACCAGTTTAATGTTTTTTACGGTTAAAAAATTAGTTTGGGGTAAAATTATCGTAATTGTACCAGTTTGGAATTTTTTGTGATATTAACAAAAAAAAAAAGACAAAGGATATAAAAAAGTTGGAGACGCGGGGAATTGAACCCCGTGGTTTTAATTCTCAACCATATGAGCTACGCCCCCATTTGCTATGTCTTCAAGAAACTAATATATTTACCAAAATTAACTCTTATCACGTGGTCCATCGGCAAATCGAACCGCATCATATTTCTCCAAAACATTTTTTTTAAAACGTTTTAGAGAAACAAAATATCTAAAGAATTCTATTGATTTCTTGTGACCGTCATTACTAATTAACACATGCGAAGCAATTAATCAGAGATGCGATTAGGTGGTTTGACACGTCAAGACTACAATATCTCTCTGCGTTAGAAAGAAAGATTAGAGTTTTAATTTTTAAAAATTAAAATTTTGCTCGAACCCCAAATCGGTACACTTGACACTTGTGACGATTTTACCGTAAACTAACTTTTGACCATTAAAAACCCTAAACCGATACACTTATGACAAATTTACCATCCATTAAATTGAATTGATACCACAAAAAATCACAAATTGATAAATTTGTGACAAACAAAGGGGTAAAACCCTAAACTAGTACACCCGTCAACTGCCGCACGTCATCCAACTCAGTAAATTGATCGCAAAATTTAACGTAAACTAACAGAGGGTAAATTTATCACATGTATACCATTTTGGGGGGTTTTTTTTTGTAATATTAACCCTCAATTCTTTCATTACATTGTAGAAATACACTTAATTATGTGGTATGTAATTAATAATGTACTTATATACTTCATAAAATATATAAGCTATACTTACCAAGTAATACTGGTACTTCAAGGTCAGATGGTTCTAACTTCATACACCACAAGGAAGCATAAAAAATATTTATAGTCATCTAATATTAAATAATCTAATAGTATTAATTATTCATGACTTAGGGACACAATCATAATTAGCCGGTTACTTGGATGGAATTTGAACAGTAACCCGTTGCAGCAACCCACTGCTCTGGCTCCCACTTAAATCCGAGTTCCTCAAAGTAGAAATCGAAGCACAATCATCAATTCTTGAGCCGAAAGCATAGACACGCTCTTACCACTAGATCAATCGCATAAAGGTTTAATAGTATCATTCAGTGCGGGCGTTTCTTATAACTGCACCTGTGTAATGAACCGTTTATTGATGATTAGTTTATTTGTGATTAGTGGCTTAGTATAGTAGATAAGAGGGATTATATAGTATAACCATAGTAGCATAAAGATCTTATTGTTAGATCAATAATGTTACTATAATGATAATATTAGACAATCGTCATTGGTGATACTTCATTCATTTTTGTGAGCGACGTGACACGAACAATTACTTTTAGAAAAATATTTTGCAAATCATTTATTTTTCGCGAAATAATGCAAACTAAGTTCAACTTTAATTTACAAGTTTCTGGTTTGCAATGAAATTTGGATTCTCATAAAAAAAAGTTAATTATTTAATCAGAAAAGAAAAAAGACAGAGGAAACAAAAGATGTGGAGACGCGGGGAGTCGAACCCCGTGGCTTTTGCATCAACCATATGTGCTACGTCCCCATCTATGATATCTTTGAGAAAGTGACGTATTTAACCAAATTAATTCTTATCTCGTGAATCATTGGCAAATCAAACCCCATCATATCTTTTCAAAATATTTTAAAAAAAGAACGTTTTAGATAAACAAAATATCTAAAAGATTCTGTTGAATCCATTAATAATTTACATCTAATAGACCCAGCCTCATCTCTTTATCTATATGATTATATCGTTTCAATGTCTCCTATATGTTCTTTCATTTGAATTCGTTGTGCATATCGAAAATTTCTTGTCTTGATATATATCACAAGCCAATGGTAATTCGATGTTTAGATAATTATTTTGATTATCGCGATTTGCTGATTGGATCGATAATTATAAGCCGGGATTAATCACTCGATTAATGTACTTTGAACGATGATGGCACGCCAAGTAAATAAGATCTACAGGTTAAATTTTTTATCCGTATTTTTTTTGCTTTTTAAGCAATGGATTACTCGCGTGAGAGGCAAGTTGATCGCAACAATTTGAGAAACCCATGTCCACTTGCCAGTCGCTTTAAAATTTAAATCCGTTTTC